ACATCCACATACATACATGCCCCCCACATACATGCCCCACACATACATGCACCACACATATATGCACCACACATACACGCCACACACATACACGCCACATACATACATGCACCACACATACATGCACCACACAGACATGCACCACACATGCATGCACCACACATAGGCATCATGTACTAGGCACACACGTGTACTACATTCACATATGCCACACATACATGCCCCATACATACATGCCACACTACATGTACCACACATACATGCTCCTCACATACAGGCCACACTCATTCATGCACCACACATAGGCATCATGTACTAGGCACACACGTGTACTACATTCACATATGCCACACATACATGCCCCATACATACATGCCACACTACATGTACCACACATACATGCTCCTCACATACAGGCCACACTCATTCATGCACCACACATAGGCATCATGTACTAGGCACACACGTGTACTACATTCACATATGCCACACATACATGCCCCATACATACATGCCACACTACATGTACCACACATACATGCTCCTCACATACAGGCCACACTCATTCATGCACCACACATAGGCATCATGTACTAGGCACACACGTGTACTACATTCACATATGCCACACATACATGCCCCATACATACATGCCACACTACATGTACCACACATACATGCTCCTCACATACAGGCCACACTCATTCATGCACCACACATAGGCATCATGTACTAGGCACACACGTGTACTGCACCACACATACATGCACCACACATACATGCCACACACATACATGCCACACACATGCACCACACATACATGCACCACACATAGGCATCATGTACTATGCACACACGTGTACTACATTCACATATGCTGCACACAGGCACCACATGTAGCATATACACCACATACACTAAACACAGGCATCATCCCCTCACATGTATCACAGACACATACATACATGTACTATACACCCACCCATACCATACCAACATGTACCATACATACAAGCACCACACACACAGCACCCCACACACATCACCCCACACACATGCACACACACACAGCACCCCACACACATCACCCCCCCACACACACACACAGCACCCCACACACACAGCACCCCACACACACAGCACCACACACACACACAGAGCACCCCCCCACACACACACAGCACCACACACACACAGCACCACACACACACAGCACCCCCCCACACACACACGCACACACACACACAGTACCCCACACACACACAGCATCCCCCCCACACACATCACCCTCCCCCACACACACACAGCACCCCACACACACAGCACCCCACACACACAGCACCCCACACACACAGCACCCCACACACACAGCACCCCACACACACAGCACCCCACACACACAGCACCCCACACACACAGCACCCCACACACACAGCACCCCACACACACAGCACCCCACACACACAGCACCCCACACACACAGCACCCCACACACACAGCACCCCACACACACAGCACCCCACACACACAGCACCCCACACACACAGCACCCCACACACACAGCACCCCACACACACAGCACCCCACACACACAGCACCCCACACACACAGCACCCCACACACACAGCACCCCACACACACAGCACCCCACACACACAGCACCCCACACACACAGCACCCCACACACACAGCACCCCACACACACAGCACCCCACACACACAGCACCACACACACACAGTACCCCACACACACACAGCACCCCCCCACACGGCACCCCCACACACGTGTGCATGCACACATACCCACCCCCCACACACAAATGACTTGGCACACACACACACACATGTCCTCCCACATGTACACGTGCACCATACCCACCACACACTCACCACATACACATTTCTTTCTTTCTTTTTTTAACAATTCTTTTATTTTATGTACATTGGTGTTTTGCCTGCATGTATTTCTAGTTACGGACAGTTGTGAGCTGCCATGTGGTTGCCGGGAACTGAACCCAGGTCCTCTGGCATTCACTTTAATCTCAGCACTAGGGAGGCAGAGGCAGGAGAATTTCTGTGGGTGCTCTTAACCACTAAGCCATCTTCTTACATGAGTTGTTTACTTCTTCACAATGGGTTAACATACGGGACAGGGGTCTGGGTAGCCAAAGTTAATAGGCAGAAAGTTGGGAACCACACTAAGGATTTCTGGAACTAGAGGTACATGCCCTGCAAAGCTCCCGGGGGCTTCCACTAGCAGCCTCAGTCTTCAAGAGGCTGAGGCAGGAGGACTGCCACGACTTTGAGGCCAGCCTTGGGCTACAGAGAGGGGCAGGATAAAGTGGAAGGGAGGGAGAGTTTTTCTTTGTTGTTTTAGTAAGAAAGGGACGTGTTATGCAGTCCAGACTGGCCTGGAACTGGTGATGCTCCTGCCTCTGCTGTCTAAAGAAAGGCTTAGAAAAGCCCACTCTAGCTCTGCATACCTTCCCATTTGTCAACACCCCACCTCAGCTCATACGTCTCACAGAGGAGCCTTACTTGCCACTATTTCATATAGCAGCTACCTCCCCACTCTCCACCCACCCACTTTTGCTCTTCCTCATAACCTTCCTCATTCTTGATTCTCTGTCTTCTCTGCCTCCTGCTCACCCCGCCACTCCCTAGCTAGGGGATGGTCCTGCACCTCATGTCTTGGGCCACTTTCATCTTTGATCCTTGTGATCCCTCCACTCTGACCTTCCTTGGTTCTTCAAATGTTCCACAAGACAAAGGGCAAGGAGTGTGCTGAAAAAGAAAAAAGAAAACACTGTGAAAGACACTGACTGACTCAAGCAAGAATTATCAGGTTACTGGAGGTGGTTCATTGGTAAAGTGCTTGCTACACAAGATGAGGATCTGAGTTAAATCCCCAGGACCCACGTGGTAGCACACTTACAATCCCTCCACTCAGGAGCCAGAGACAGAATCCAGCCTGGCCTAACTGGTGAGCTCTATGCCAGCAAAACACTGTCTCATAAAACAAGGTGGAAACACACATGAGGTGGTCCTCTGCTCTACACATAAACACACACATACATGAACACACACACACAAAATCATCAATGGTTGCTAATACAAGATGGCCAATGAGCCAGGCAGTACTGGTGCACACTTTAATCTCAGCACTAGGGAGGCAGAGGCAGGAGAATTTCTGTGAGTTCCAGGCCAGCCTGGTCTACAGATCGAGTTCCAGGACAGCCAAGGCTACACAGAGAAACCCTGTCTCAAAAAAACAAAACAAAACAAAACAAAAGATGGTCAGAAGTTTGACAAAGATACCATAACCAGACAGTATCACTACAAGATACACCCTCAAGCTATACTAAGCCTCCAGTGATGTCCTGCCGCTGACATGATACACTAAGAACACAACACTAAAAATGAGTGACCAGAATGTAGCCAGGAGGAAAATCAGATAACCCCAAATTTAGGGATATTTTATAAAAAAAAAACTGGTTTATACTTGTTTAAAATGTCAAATCAGGGTCAATAAGATAACTCATCAGGTACAGGTGCTTGCTGCCAGTCCTGATAACCTTAGTTCAACCCCTGGGACTCCTCTGGTGGAAGGGGAGCACTGACTCCTGTCAATTGCCCTTTGACCTCCATATTTGCTGTGGCATGTACACATATACACACTAACTAAATAAATAAATGAAATTTAAAATGTTTCCAATGTCAAAGTAATGAAGGCGAGGGAAAAAGGAAGTATTATACACCCAAATTACAACTTTAGGTGTGAAATCATGTCAAATTTTAAAAATCAAAGATTTATTTATTTTTTATTCTATGTATCTGAGTTCTGCTTGCATGCATATCTGTGTACCATGTCTGCCAAACCAAAGAGGGTGTTGGATCCCCTGGAACATGGCTGTGAGCTGCAATGGGGGTGCTGGGAGCTGGACCTGGGTCCTCTTCGAGAGCATCCAGTGAGTTTTTTTTAAGCTTTTTATTAGGATTTATTCATTGTACAAAACAATGGTTTCATTATGACATCACACATGATCATATTTTACTCCTTCCCTGCTTTCTCTCAGCTGCTGTCACCAACCACGGGAGCCCAAGGAGGCACCCACTCCTGATGCAAGTAGTGGCTGAGTTATCAATGTCTATCAATGGGAAGTTAATATTTAAAATCATACAATTTTTAAAAGTGACATTATCTCTGGTTTCTCACATCTAGCCAGAACTTCTAAGAGTTAAAAATTCTCTCCCAACTTTCAACATTACTGCCCCTGGTATTTACACTTTTACTATGGAAAGAAAGACACATTTTAAGGAGAATATCAGAGAGGACTCAAAGTTAAGAGACAGGAAAAGGCATAAGACCCTAGAACCCGCCATGAGCAGGCACAATGACACACGAGTGAGTTCACTGATGAGAGCTACACTTACAAAGCATTACAGATCAGATGGAGAGCATACACACCAGCCATTGACCAGAGCTCCTGGAAGGGTCTGGTCAAGGGAAGGTTCCACTCCTGGCCTTAATCTCTGATTTGCATAAAATCATTCGCTGTTTTCCTCGCCTTAATTCTGTGTATGCGAATCTGAGTCCACATGCCCTACCTTTATAAAGCAGGTATCAGGGAGCAAGTGTGGTCAGAATATATGTTACTGAAGTAGAGCCTGCCTTAATGACCTCATTTCCACTTAATTAACTCTTCAAAGACCCTGTCTCTACATTCAGTCATATTCTAAGATGCTGTAGGATTTAACCTACAAATGTCAGGAGAACTTCATATCTTAAGAAAAACAAAACATAGATGGGCGTTGGTGGCGCATGTCTTTAATCCCAGCACTGGGGAGGCAGAGGCAGGTGGATCTCTGTGAGTTCGAGACCAGCCTGGTCTACAGTGTGAGTTCCAGGACAGCCTCCAAAGCCACAGAGAAACCCTGTCTGGAAAAAACAAAAAAATAAATAAAAAAGACAAAACATTTATAAGGGTATGTTACAGCCCCATACAACAATCTATAATACTTGACATCTTTAACACTCACAAAATTTAGGGTATTTGTTCAGACTAAATTAAGAACCCAATTGAGGCTAAGAATATACCTCAGTTGGTAATGTGTTTATCTGACACGCATGAAGCCGCTAGGTTTGATCTCAACACCATATAAAATGACTGTGGTGATGTACATCTGTAATTCCAGGGCTTGGTAGGTAGGGGCAGAAGACTAGGAGCTTAAGGTTATCTTTGGCTACTTTGGAGTTTGAGGCCAGCCTGGGCTAGTAGCCCCACCTCAAACAACAGCAAAGCAACCAAATCTTACTAATAGCAATTCTATGTTAATAGTCATATACTTTGGGGAGCAAGACATAGGGTTAGCAGTGATCCATTGGAAATATAATCGGTCCATCCTTAGCTCATGTTGTCTAAGAATTATTTAATGAATGTTCTGTACAAATACCTAGTCTGTAGGTATTTGTACACAGCAGTTCTCCTACACATTCCCAGCTGCTCCTGTGGGAAAAGCAATGGTCACTTTACAGAGAAAGAGCCTTTATCCACAGCTGGTCCCGTTCATTATCTCCCCATGAGAAGAGGCAGAGATGTTTCCACAGGAACTCATCTTGCATCATCACCTCCACAGCTATAAACTGATCATCACAGCTCCTCACCTGCCCCTCAAAGGACCTTTAGAATGATATCTCAGCCGGCAGAGGTCATCACAGTCATGTCCCACTTATGAACAAGTCTCAAGGAATTACAAAGCTTTTTGATTTTAGTCCAGTCAGGCCCCTGCATTTCTTGGCATGGCAGTCCCTTTTCTGTATGGGTGACTGTGGGCAACCAGAAGAAAATACACCCACAGCAGTCACCACAACTTAAGCTCTTGGCTCATTAATGTGTATCCACCCTTGCTGGGCCCTATCAAGTACTTTCCCTTGTTTTTCCTGAGTCCCAATCAGTCATATGGTATCTTCAAGAACATTCTGACTTCTTTATCACCCAGAGGATAAGGAAGAAATCACCATGACATCAAGACAAGTATTCTGAGGGTGCTGGGGTGAAGGGGAGCACAGATCATTCAGAATGTCTCTCGAGCATCAGGATGAAGTCAAATCAGAGAACACAGAAGGCATTGGTGGCTTTCCAGACAACCAGCTCTTCTCTACATGGCTGAAGGAGAGAATGGATTCCTGAATGTTGTCCTCTGACCTCCACACACACTCCTATAGCATGTGTGCTCCTTGTCCTGAATGTCTCTCAAACCTTCTCCATCCAGAAGCAAGATTTAATAATCCCAGTTGAGAGCATCCCCATCTTTCTGATCTGGGTGACCTCTGATGCCACTGGGGCCATGATGGTGTCTGGGTGAGTTGAAGCTGCTGCTGAGGACCATGTCTGGGTGTTTGTCTGGGATCTGTGATGATGCCCGTGGCCTGTGTTAGCACAAGGGGTCATTGGAACCATACTGTGCTTATCCAGCCCCACCCTTTCCTGACCCTGGGTTAGCTGTTTGTGCCCTCACAGGACACTGCAGCAGGAGAGCTGACCCCACCCTTCAGGGGAGAGCTGGCATCTGTATTTAGGAAAGAGGGCCCCACCCCTCACCACAGATGTGAACCTCAGCTAGGCAACACACTAGAGCTGACCCTCTCTCTAGTCAGGGATGCAGGTGAGCAGAGCCTGAGGGCATGAGAGCAGCAGAGCTAACCCTGCCCCTCCATCTCCCAAGTGACCACTCGGGTGAGAGGATGCCCTTCTCCCACCCACTGCCACCTGCAACAGATGAGAGAACTGGCCCCAGGGTTGAAAGAATGGGGGAACTAGCCCTGCCCTTCACCAGCTGCAGCACAAAGGAGAGCAGGCTGCCCTGGGCAGCCCATTAGAGCTGAGCCTGAGCCCTGAGTGCATGAGAGCTGATATCCAGTGCTTTTAACCAGTGAGCCATCGATCTTCTCCAGCCCCAATCCAAAATTAAAAAAAAAAAAAAAAAGAAATCTTTTGGCCTACAAGCTCAGTCCATTCACACTATTCTACCTTCTTGGGAAAAAATAGATACAAAGTGCCCAAAATTTCCCACAAAATTCCCTGTCCAATAAAAATTAAATGATTTCGAAATATTAAAAACATGGAAGGGCACTGAACCTATTAGAAGACAAAGTGGGAAATACCCTTGAATTAATCGGTACAGGAGACCGCTTCCTGAACATTACACCAGTAGCACAGACACTGAGATCAACAATTGATAAATGGGACCTCCTGAAACTGAGAAGCTTCTGTAAGGCAAAGGACACAGTTAGCAAGACAAAACGACAGCCCACAGACTGGGAAAAGATATTCACCAATCTCACATCTGACAGAGAGCTGATCTCCAAAATATACAAAGAACTCAAGAAGCTAGTCTCCAAAACACCACACAATCCAATTAAAAAGTGGGGTACAGAACTAAATAGACAATTCTCAATAGAGGAATCTAAAATGGCTGAAAGACACATAAGAAAGTGTTCAACATCCTTAGCCATCAGGGAAATGCAAATCAAAACAA